TCACTCGGTGCATCACGGCTGGCGGGGGGTGGGGGAGGGCTCATAGCTCAGCATGTCACAATATGTTTGGAACTAAAAGTTGAAGATGGAAAGTTGATTTTAAATCAATTTAAAAGTGTCATATGCTGTATTCAGCTATGTCTGTTGCTGTAGTAGGCCACACATCTTTTTGTCTTATTCTTCTATTGGTTAGACTTGTTTGTGTTAACTGTTTCTTAAGCACGCATTTATCTTCTTTCTTATTTCCAGGATGTCTGTTACTGTTGTGTTGTCTAATGTACGTGGTATGCTCTGCCGCATGGTCTATTCTATTTCTCAAGTAGTAGTATATGGCATAGTAGTAGCAGGAGAAGTAGCAAAGGAAGTGCTGTTATAAAGTGGCTGTAACAACTGTGGGTCAGTCATTATATTGTAACGTGATATATTGCATCCATTGCTGAGCAACGAAAACAATGGAAATTGTTGAATTCCCACAGCAACAAATTGAATACCAACAGAATGTTGCGTAGGAATATCCATAAAAGCAAATGTTCGCTGTGTAACAATGAAATAACAATAGGAACAGTGCAAACAACAAAAGCATTAAGACAAAATTAACAGACATAATAAAGTTCAGGAAGAATCTGTGAACAAACTAGGAACTTATCATCCATTTTCTTTTATTTCTGCAGTATCAGAAAATCCCAACAACATATAACCAGCATATGTAACATCTGAGACGATAAAACATACAACACAATTTAATATCAACAAAGATTCAACATTTTATATCCAATTCTTATTTACAATAATTTGTTCTATAAATGGACTAAAACCAATACAATTCAGTGTTCTATAAACAACCTACAACCAGAACAATTTCTTGTTCATATATATACTTTAATGGTTCCATGATGGATCTGTAGAAAATGAAGCTTTACAATTTTACTGTACCATCTATATTATACATATTAATGGAAATTCATTACCCTTTCAATGCAATATCTGCATCTTTTAGGGACTGTATATCATAAGATAAAATAAGCAGACACATTGCTCAACAATAATGAAACTTGACTTCATTCATGAGCTGTATATAGTAGTTTGTATATTTTTTGAAATGCTTGGCACAGTAATGAACCTTTGGGTTCCATAAAATGCTGGGAAATTCTTGAGTAGCTGCAGATATGGCGGCTCCTCCAGAAGGGCTCACCTCCATGAGTGAGTGAGTGAGTGAGTGAGTGAGTGAGTGAGTGAGTAAGTAAGTAAGTATATATATATATATATATATTGCTTATGATTGTAACAAATGTTAGTAGTATGCTTGTAATTTTGTAGATTTATTTTGTTAACTTGTATTACCAAATGACTTCTCCAAGTGTTACTATGTAACAAAACAGATGAAATAAAATGAGTGAGTGAGTAAGTAAGTAAGTATATATATATATATATTGCTTATGATTGTAACAAATGTTAGTAGTATGCTTGTAATTTTGTAGATTTATTTTGTTAACTTGTATTACCAAATGACTTCTCCAAGTGTTACTATGTAACAAAACAGATGAAATAAAATGAGTGAGTGAGTAAGTAAGNAAAGAAAATAAGAAAAAGTACAAATAAGAGAAAGAATTATGGAAATAATTACCTGTACTGGGTGCTTAACACATAAGACATTATTTTTATCCTAAATTTTTGTATCCATATTATTTCTAACTTAAATACTGATAATATATTACCTCATATACCTTTCTCTAGCTGGCACATAAAATGAAAAGCAACTTCTGTCAACATTAATTTCCACTATCATCTATGAGTGTCAAGGGTGCAGAAACAGAATCTGGGGCAGATAGTACCCTACAATACTGAAAGGATGAACATTGATAGTACACTTCCCAACCAAATAACACAGAAATTTACTGCTGAAATATGATAGGCCACAAACATGTGGGTCTTCAATTCACATTCCATGTCAATACTTCATGAAAAACTTGGCTCTCTGAGCACACATGGGACCACAGACAGACGCTCCTTCTGCTTGTATCTGTAGAAGCACAACATCCAATTCTCTGTATGAATACACTTTCATTGTTTTACATTTGGAAGGTCCAGCAAAATTATAGCAGTTCCTTACAAACTCCATCAACTTAATCTCAAAGTTCATGTTATTTATGGTTTGTAACCAACACAAAAATATGCAGCTGCAATTCTTAGTTTCTTAAGAAGGCCTCTGCTGCATGGATTTAGTTTGTCATTAGGATTTATTCTGAACCTATTTCACACTTCTATGAGTCAAAGATAACTTATGTAACACAACAAAATACTCATCATGAACTATGTATGTCATTCTGTTATTTAATACACAACGCTTCAATAAATATGATAAATACTAATGTATTACTTGCCAGCCATCACTTAAAATACCAAAAGCAAAGGTACACTTTTCTGCACTTCAAAGACAGAACTTCTGTATAGAATTATAAGTGTTATATTTATGATTTACTGAGGTAGGCCTTAACAGTATTGTCAAACATATGAATTTATAAAACTTGCAAAAATGGTTACTACCATGACTGTTACCAATTTAAGCAGGGAAACCACAAAACTTCTTTGCTGTACTAGGATTGATAGTGGATTAACAAAACATTATTGTCCACAGTGATATTATGTCACAATAAATTAACCAGTCTTGTTTCTGCACAGTGGAGTAACAATTAAAGCCAACACTGCTAGGAAAGTGTAGTCCACCTCTATGAACCAGGATGTTACCCCTTGTGCAGCCAACATTATGGAAGAAAAATCCTGTGTCTGAATCTCCAATATATGAACACTGGAAGTATGTTAGAATAAAATCTAGTAACTTCATAATGATGGCATAATGGTCTACACCACTAACTGATGGCACACCCTCATTCACATAGTAGATGGAGTATAATAAGATTCTCCAAGCAGACAGCTGAAAAAGTATATTACTATATGGCCAGAACACACAACATGTTTCATGTACTAAAAGTCATACAGCAATTAATTTTAAGAACATCTCTTCTGGAACTCAAGTACTAGTACCTTGTTCTTGCGCTGGGTACCAAAATTACTGAAAAGGACAAGTATAGTTACCTCCTAATTATCTGACCACAGACTAACTGATCTGAATCTTATCCATGCATGACATATTTACGCAAATATGTATGAATGTGAACTAGGCTCCTGTCTTGAATAAAAATTAGAATTTGAGATGGAAAAGAGCAGTTCGTATAATTGTATTGGAAATTGGGGAAGGGAATATCACAAGTAGAACTGTTTCCAAATGTCTGAAGTGACACACGTTGAAAGAACAGTCTGGAGTGAAAGGGAGGGACAGATGGGGTACCTGCCAGACATACACTAGTTAAGAACTCAGGATGGGAGGATCATGATGCAAGTTGTGACATTAGTCATGTTAAATTAAGCCACTGGTCTCAGAGCATTCAAATACTTCCATTATCAAAAAAGTTATGTTTTCCCCTCCCATGACATGACAACATCACAGTCTGGTCGGCCAGTCAGGTAAACTGCTGCTGGCCATCACCAGCCCAATTATTCCTGGTTTTGAGAATTAATAAATCCATCACAAGTCAAAAATATAATATTCAGACATGTTTTAGTCCAGTACAGCATAAAAATGTGAAGTCTGGCAAGTATCACACAAAAATCTATTAAAAACTTTCTGACCCAGATGGCATAGATGAATGGTGACAAATAGAACTGCATTCTCAACTTTCAAAGCTGAACTTGAAATGGAATGAATGAAGTACATAGATACTTAATGCCTGCTGACTTCTGTATTCTAACACAAAAATACAGAAATATAAGCCACTATCTTAAGTTCGGTATGCTGTAATCAATACACAAGTTCCACAGTTGTGAATAAATATATATTAACTACAACATACACACACATACCTTCCCCCCCCCCACCCTGAAAATGCAGGACACTGCAATGCAGTATTTACAAGTGCAACTAATAATATTTTGAAGTATGATACCTGTGACATTATCACTTTCAAAGAAAACTAAGTGACAACACTATCTTAAAATCTGAATCATAGTGTGTAATATTACAGCAATATAAAAATTAAGATTTATTTATTGTTTTGTAAATACTTCACTTCAGAATCTGAAACTTCATCTCATGTTTTTCTAATTTTGCTTTATGTAGAATACCTTATCCTGCATACTCAGCATGCTTCAGCATCAACACTCTTTTGTGTTTCCTTCTCCAGTGGAAGTTTCAGTGAGACTATGTTCAGCACTAGTAACTCGGCGAATGGGCTATGAGGACAATACTGAAGTTGCTGACAGTCTCTTCTGAGTATTTTCCAAGTCATCTAATTCAAATTCCTGCAGAATCAACAGAGAACTATTATGAAACATTCTCTTACATTGTCGCTGCAGAAATGAATGGAAATTGCATCTGATGTAATGTCATGAAAATTCTATAACTCCAGAGTTCAGAATATTCCCAAGCAGTTCACAGCTGTTCATGAAATGTTTTACATCCTTACCCAAAGATCTGTCACTGTTTTCACAAGATCCCACACTGAACTATCCAGTTCACTTCATATCCTACTTCTAAAAGTCTAATTCAGTACAGCATTATTTCTTTTAAACATTCTGTATAACACACGAAAAACTAATTACCATATAAAAGTTACTCCTATATATGTACCAACTGAAATAAGGTGATCACACATTATAATTGCTCTGCACATACATGCTAAGAACTTATGCCTCAAGGCCATATCAATTCACCATTCTGGCATAAAATATTTTAATTCTGGAATGTGGACTTTCTTCTCCTAGATAAGGAAGAGGCCAGAGTGTGGGTTAATGGTACTTTTATGAACCACCATCGACTACAAAAATTTTGAGATAAAATATTGCAAATACTGTTGGTGTACGAAAGTACAGAGGGAAGCTGCCATTACGTCAGGAATTACTGGTCAAAACATAAGTGTTGGAATATAGACCTCATTTTACATGAGATTTTTGTCACTATAATGAAGTTCTTGTTGTAAGCTACCACCACATTCATTACATCAGGGTTACACTATATTATAATTTGGTGGAGCTGTGTATCCTTGTAAAGGAAAGCGGTACAACTGTAGCTGAGATATTAAGAACATTTCTAAAATTGTAAGAGGCAAAACTGAAGCAGGGAATATACTGCTAAGCAGTGTCAAGGAGAGATGAAATTTTACATTTCACACTTATACCACGAGGCTAATTTTGAAGAACGGAAAAGAGATAAGTGTGCCAAAAAACCAAGAGATATGAAGGAGTTAAATTTGTACATGAAAAAGTTGAACTGTTTCCACTGATATTCTTATAGTGTTCTCAGGATTATTAGTAAGTTGAAAACACATTTTTAAAAGTGTATAATGATAGTTCATTTGTAAAAACCCTGTATTATCCTTTCAGCTCAGTCCACTGCAACAGTCTTGTGTTTATTCGGCTATTTGTATATTTATGATTAATTAAAATTGTGTAATAATAGTCTGGGCTATGACAATACTGGCGTTAAAATAGTTACTTTATTTGTTTGTTCAACAGTGCTGTCAACAACTCAGACTTCATAGCACTGATATTTACTGTATAACACACAATAAAGGAGACCCACTGCTTTTCCAGGAAATCTAAAGCTCCTAATAACATGTGACACTTGATTTATTAACACATCTAAATTAGTGTTACTAATGTAAGTACTTGAAATCAGTCAGGACTTTCTTAAACAGGTATATGTTTATATGCACGCACGCGGAGTAAACTCTCCATTATACGCCACATACAGGGAGTGGGGCATGATGATAACATGAGGAAAACTATTATGGAACCACACTTTCATGTGATTTTCACAATTTTCCTGTCTTTTAATATTTCAATTTTCTGTTTCAAAATCAAAACAACATGTTTGACTTTAGTTCTTGCGTGAATCTCTTCTCAGTAAACATATGGATGGATGATGCAAGATTTCAGATATAATGGAATAGAACCACATATTCAATGTAATAAAAGGCCATGACTTTTTAATGGTAACACCACGAGATGATGATGATGGTAGCTGAATGTATGCATGTCACAACTTTATTTTTGAATTAACTTCTTAAAATGGTAAATTTTCTTTCAAATTTTTGCAGATTCCATGAGATTCTGGACTCCTGGATATCAGATAGCTTGAAGTTTAAAGAATTAACTAATGCCATGGAGATGAGTTCTTGAAAAGCCACTAATCACTCAGATACTCAAGAATTTCCCAGCATTTTACAGAACCCAGAAGTTCATTACCGTGTCAAAACATGCTGCCACTGGTCCATATCTTGGGTAAGATTAATCAAATTCATACTAAACCATCCTGTTTCTTTGAGTTCACTGTAGATATAGACACAAATTATCGAAGTCTTACGAATATTGTCACAATTTATGTGATGTGTGACTACAGACAGAGTAAAGATTGGTGACTCGGATTTATTGATCACTTATACACATCACTCAGAACTACAAGCACTTACAACACTATAGCTGATTTTCACGCTTCACAAACCATCACAGCAACTACTAAGCCTTTTCCAACCTGCTGAGTCTTCCCAGCTGTTCCTTGGCAACAGCTTCTAACAGTGGAGATTCATCAGCTTCACATGCTTAAGTCCTCTTGTCACAGCCACCCATGCAGAACTCTTGTTAACTGTCATGTGTAACCATTGCTGCGGAAATGTGTTTACCCAGCCATTGCCCAGATATTGGTCTCATATAATTGCCCATTTCACGATTGTTAGCATCTATACACCTTACAATATTGTCACCTGTATCAGTGATCAACATGCAGGTTTGGATTGGTGAACTGATTTATTGGATCTTCACTAGTCATATCAACAATTATTTCTTACGCTCTTTAACATTACAGTAACTATAGCACATAAAGTTTTGAAGGTCTGTTAACACTTCACATCTGAATCCTCACAAATCCTTTCCATGACGGCTTCATGTCCATGACTCACAGCTTCTCAGCTATGACTGACTGCAAATGACCTTCAGTCTCCCTTATAAAACTTCGGCGCAGACCCCCGGAGAAAACACCTATTATTGTAAGATGTGTTTACAGTTCTGTTGCTTAGCACTGGGCATGGTGCAGACAACAATGAAAACAAGTCACATGATAGCTATCTCACCAGTCCACTGGCATGTTGATTGTTGCCTAGCAACAATCTATAAACATTCATCCTATTGTTGCGTGACCTAGCAATGGACTGTTTACCAAGAATATGTCTTTATGAGAACTTGTTTATCAACCCATTTCCAAGCAATGGGTGTACATGTAATACATATTCCTGTTGACCTAGATCTTATTATATACAACCACTGCCAGAATTATCTGATGCATAATATGGTTGCCAAGCAGTGAAACAACAGTGAACATGGTTCATTTCTTGCACTGTAAAAATTCCATTATCTTTGCCAGAAAATCAAACACAGAAACAGACATAATGAACAAAAGGATTTTTATATATATACCTGTGTAAATTATATGAAAAAATATGACTCCATAACAAATAATTCATGTTTAATTTATATGATGGAATAAAAAGTAAAAAAAAAAAGTAAAGTAAAGCTATCCCTGTAATGTAGATACCATAAAGAAAAACACACAAACTTTAATTGACGCAAGTAAAGAGGTTGGTGTAGAAGTAAACACTGAGCAAACTAAGTATATGTTGCTGTCTCATCACCAAAATGCAGGGCAAAATCATGATATAAAGACAGAAAACAGACGTTTTGGAAATGTGGCACAATTCAGATATTTGGGAACAATGATAACGGATCGAAACCTGATTCAGGGGGAAATTAAGAGAAGATTGAACTCGGGTAATGCTTGCTACCATTCAGTCTAGAACCTTTTGTCTTTTTGTCTGCTGTCCAAAAACATAAGAATTTGAATATAGAAAACTATAATTTTGCCTGTGGTTCTGTATGGGTGTGAAACTTGGTCTCTGACATTAAGGGAGGAACATAGACTGAGGGCGTTTGAGAACAGGGTCTTAAGGAAAGCATTTGGACCAAAGAGGGATGAAGTGAGAGGAAGTTGGAGGAAACTACATAATGAGAAGCTTCATAACTTGTACTCTTCTCCAAGTATAATTAGAATGATCAAGTCAAGGAGGATGAAGTGGGCAGGGCACGTAGCATGAATGGGGGAGACCAGGAATGTGTATAGGATATTGGTGGGAAAGCCAGAAGGAAAGAGACCACTGGGAAGACCAAGACATAGGTGGGTGGACAATATTAAAATGGATCTTGGACAGATAGGATGGGATGGTATTGATTGGATTGATCTGGCTCAGGATAATGAACCTTCGGGTTCCATAAAATGTTAGGAAATTCTTGAGTAGCTGCAGAATTTGCAGCTCCTCCAGAAGGGCTCAGCTCCATGAATAAGTAAGTAAAGCTATCCTTGTAACAGGTCGTGAAGGCCCATAGGGTTGTGAGACACTGAGGGTCCCACATTAACTAGACAATTGGATCAAAGATGGTGGTAAGGTTGTCAGCCTTACGTGCCGGCCACACATTACTCCCCAGGAAAATTATTTAATTAATGGCATATACAACAAAATCCAAGCAATAAATACAATTTTTATAATTTTTTCTCTATAAATTGCTATAATGACTGAGAAGATATTGAAAAAACTGTACGAACAATGTCTGAGGCAACATTCTACTGAGGTATCCTCAAACCAGTGTCAGCTATAGCTAGCAACTTCTGTCATTCATATTCAGAAGGTAATGCATGGTTGCATTCCTTTACAGTACTCTGGTAAACAGCAATATTCAAGCATGTTATTTTCAGTACTGAAAATATGCCTTCTTTCATTTTAACCCCTGCCTTCTACCATTTGAAACCACATGAATTTACTGGTTGTAGATGGCAAATACATTCTTTAAGATAGTTTAGTAATTACAAACCTATACAGACAAAGTTCAGGAAAAAGTCACTCCTCACAAATGTTTTCCAAATCAGTACAGTACAGTGAACATTTACAGCACTGAACACCCGCCATCAAGCAGGCACTGCTGTGGAAAATAAATTGCTGAATTTTGCAAGGCTTATTCAATGTGCTGGTCATTCTGATTTTTCATATTTTTTATTCTAACCTAAATACTGTAAATGTTGTGTTAAATAGATTATTCTCGTGTTTAATTTCCATGGAAACAATGTGAGAATCACAAAATAATAAATATTGCCCTGTTTAGACTAATTGTATTATGACAACAAAATTTTCAACATTTTATGTACCTATTCATGAGGGAATAACAAATGAATGTAGAGGGTGCTTCTAATTTCTTTGAAACACCACTCTACTCTAATTCTTTCCATTTCTTTACACTGACTTTCACCAAAGTTCCCATATTAAAGTTTCAGTTCTTTGGTACCCAGTCTCCACAAATGAAATGCAGTAATTCTTACCGAAGTTGGAGGCAATGATATGGAAGGAAGAGGTGACTGTGAAGCATCCTCCAGCTCCTCTGCTGCTTTCAGCAGCTGGTTCTGCATCTCCCTTGCTTCAACCAGAAATATACTCTCCTTAACTTCCTTGGAGCTGTACTTGTCAATTCTAATTGAAAAGCAATCACAAGACACAAGTATGAGTACAAAACTAAAGAAATATAGGAAGCAGCACTATCGCAAAATTATCTATGACATCTTCCAACTTAACCTGCCACTTCCTACTTGGTACATACTGTGTTTCTATAATTACAAAGGTGAATGAGAAAGTTGCAATCAATTTTTTATTAAATAATACAATTACAATGAGTATGAAGAACAGCATCAGTTTTCTATATAGTCCCCACCCTTTTCAACATACTTAGTGCAGCAGTCCAAAAGCTTCTGTATGCCATCAGAAAGAAATGTTTTTGGTTGAGTGACAAGCCATGCATGCACAGCTTCTTTCAGTTCTTGGTCACTGGTAAAATGGAGGTCTCCCTAAGTGTCTCTGAGTGGACCAAACAAGTGCTAGAAAAAGCCAGACCAGGACTATATGGAGCATCCTTCAACACCTCTAAGTTCAGTTGGTGCAGGCTTTCAATGGTGTGTGGACAACAACATTGCAACACCTTTCAACAACAGTTCTAAGCATTTTCTTAAATAGCTGGTTTCAAATGGTCCCAAAGTATTTCGCTAAAATGGCCACTCTTGTGCCACTCTCTTGGTAGTGTTCCAGAATTAGCCATGTGCATCCTAAAAAAGTGTCACCAACACTTTTTCTGCTGATGGTTGAGTTCTGAACTTTTTCTTGAATGGTGAAAGCAGTCTTCTGGGATTTGGCACCGTGTATATGTGGTGTTAACCAAATCCCAGAAGACTGCTTTCTTCATAGTCACCGCCGTGAAAGCCTCAAATCTTACATTCTTGAATGGTGTTTGCTTTCTGGAGTGTAATGGTTGATCTATGTCTTGTCCCCAGTCATAGTCTCTCAAAAGTGTCATATTCATTGTGAGAATGGTTCGATAGGCCTTTGCAGATTGTAAAAACAGTTGTTCTCTGCTCTCCTGCACAAACTTAATAAAATCTGAATCAGTCTTGAATGAATCCACAAGCATAACCATGACTGACATGCATACAATGCACCATTTCATTCATAGCAACCCATCAATTATTCAGAATCATGGCATACACTCATTCTGTTTTCCTCTGTAGTGGATATGGCCAGGTCTCCTGATTGTTCTTCAACAATGACATTTGTGTGGTAGTTTTTTAACATGGTTCTCTAGTCATATATACGAGGGGGTACCCAAAAGAAACCGAACTTATTTTTTTTAAACTTATTTATTCAAATTTTAAGCACAAACCTTCAATTCCCTTCAAAGTACTCTCCACTTACACCAATACACTAGTCTAGTGTTTTATTCCATTTTTCAAAACATTGTCTAAATTCATCTTTTGAGATGCTTGACAGCGCCTCTGTCATTTTTTCCTTTCATGTCTCTTTTCATTTGAGGAAACAAAAAAAAAGTCGCACGGGGCAAGGTCGGGTGAGTATGGAGGGTGAGGAACAGGGGTCATACCATTTTTGGTCAAGAATTGTCGTACAGACAGGGCTGTGTGAGCAGGGGCATTGTCATGATGGAAAAACCAGTCACCCGACTGCCACAAATCTGGCCGCTGAGCTCCAAGTCACTCCCGACAGCTCCACAATTTCTTCAATGGTCCGTCGTCGATCTTCCTTGATGATTTCACGAATTTTTTCAACATTTTCATGTGTTCGGGCCGTGGAAGGACGACCAGAATGAGGTTTGTCATCAATTGACATTTCACCATTTTTGAAACGGGAAAACCACTCAAACACTTGAGTTTTCCCCATAGCATCATCCTTGTACGCCGTTTTTAACATTTCATTAGTTTCTGTTCCACTTTTCCCAAGCAAAAAGCAGAATTTCACTGCCGCATGCTGTTCACAAAAATCAGCCATTGCAAAAACGACGATCACACAAAACAGCTGTCACTATAAACTCTGCCGAAACTAGTCGTTACCTTCTGAAGCAATGGTAGTCGGCTTATCGACTCGGGAATGTTGGCTCTATGCGCTCATAGCGGAAAAACGCAGTACTACAAAAGCTCTGCCCACAAAAAAATTAGTTCTGTTTCTTTTGGGTACCCCATCGTACAGTGCTGCAATAAAGAACTGTTTCATTTTGTGGTGAATGTGTGTGATGGATTTCTGCCCCTGATACACCTTTAGTCCCCTCAAAAAATTGCATCACTGCATGCTGCTCATCTTTGGTTTGTAGGGAGAGCAAAGCAACTATGTTAATTCTGCTACAACACTACAACTGGCCAGTGAAGGTCAGAAGTATTTCACAATCACGTAAGGATTTCATGAAAAAAAAAACAGTGCAACCTACACAACAAACTTTAAAATAAATCACTGCAGAACCTTTCTAACTCACCTACATAATTTGTAAATGTTCTGGGTTCTATTATTTCATAACACACCCACTGCATGTGATACGTTACATTTGAAGAAATGACAAAACAATACAATTTAACGTTTATAAATAGTGAAGGCATAAGAAGTAAGTAAATTCCTTCCACGCTGAACACTACTGCTCAACCCCTCAGAACTGGTTAAGAAAGAGTGGTCCACTCATCAACATGTAACACGTTTCTTCTCTGTTTACAAAAGTGGAAAACAACACAACCCAACCGAATTTTGAAAATGTCTAGGTAAATCACAATTCACATTCAAATTTTAACAGTGAAAAATAAACCACAAGATGCTAAACATATCATGTTACAATGAAAAAGAAAATTTGTCACTGTGCCTTGACAGTGTCTTTCAACTATACACACTCATAGCATGGACTATTACCTTTTATATACTTGACAGTTGCATTGATAACATCATACAGCACAGGTTACTGATTCCCTTGCACTGACTGCCTTACATATCCCTCAGAATTAACTGAACCTGAATAAAAGACATGATCCAAAATCCCGCTCACATTCTACATGCACAAAACACCAACTTTTACATCATGGAGTGGAACTTCCCACCCACTTTATCTTTCCTGAATACCCGTATAATACTTTCTGAAGAATACAAATTATGAAGCACTTTACTCTGTAATTTTCCCCATCCTCCTGTTACTTCCTCTCTCTTAAATGCAAATACTCCCCTTAGCATTTTGTTCTTGAACACCCATGACCTATGTTCTTTCCTTAACGTGAAAAGACTATCAAAACCATAAAAAAAAAAGTAAGTTACAATTTTATAAATACAACCTTCAGGGTTTCAGAATACAAGAAGACAAAAGATACTTAATGGTAGCAAGCACTCCTTAAATTTAATATGCTCTTAATTTATAAGTGAATTAATAGTTTTATGTTTCATACTTGTCATAAATAACACCATGAATACCAAGCTGTTTAAGATGCTTGATTGTGGCAGGATTGTTGTTATCATCACCCCAACAGAAGATGATAAGCCCTGCATCCATCACCATTTTCACTTGGGTTGTGTCTCGTAGAATGTCTTCTGTATGAGCATTAATACCCTAGAGACATATTTACTGTGTAAACATAGCTGTTTCATGAGAACTGTAATATTTTTCTAAACAAATGAAATATAGCTGTGTCAAATGTGATGTGAACTCATAATATACCTCATTACAGTGTGGATAAACTATACCAACTGTGTAACTTGATGAAGAAGAGGTTGTGCTCAAGAAGTTTACAGTTGCTCAACTGATCAAGAACTTCCCTGCCATTTATGCAATCCAGAAGATTATAATATTCACAAGAGCTCAGGAATGAAAACTTTACTCCACCAAATTAATTCAGTTCACAGTCTATTTCTTTGAAGTTTTCCTTAATCTTATCTTCCGATTTTTGCAAAGTTTTCCAAGTGGTGTTTTCCTTCCATGTTTTCTGAGCAGAACTCTGTACACATTTCTCATCTCTCCTCTGCATGCCACATGCTGCGCCAGCCATTTCACTGCCATTCATACGATCACCCTAATATTTTACAAAACCTGTCTCAACAAAATACTGTTAGAGCTCCTAACAGACACTACAGCTTCAGTTGGGATTCAACATTCAATTCAAATCCATACAGATACAGTCCAAAAGTAACTTCAAGGAACAGTTTTTAAAGTATTTAATATTTACCTTGTGGATGTATCACTAAAGGGCAGCTGCTACTACACAAAGACAAAATATATACTTAATGGCAAATTAAAACATTCACAGTGGACTCAAAAAATATGTCAGTGCACTCCATTATAATGTCCTCAAATACCTGATATAACAATATGACCAATAAACTAGTGTTATGTGAGTGTCATCTTTACTGTAATTTGAAAGACAAAGAAAAGAAAGAAAATAAACAAGGAGAAAAGAGAAGAAGAAGCAACAGACATCTTCCAAACATTCGTGTATTTTTTGTTTCCTGTTATTCAGTTTGTTATACCATAACCCAAGCGATGAATGTACTGTAATTCAGTATGGCAAACAGGCATATACATCGTAATAAAGAAACTTCTTACAGTTAAATACATATTTAAAAACTTCAACTCACAAGTATTCCAGCACTAATAGCATAGTTCACAGCCATTGACATAGTCTGTGTCCGAGGATCCCTGTAAGCAGGATATTTTTTTGTCACTCCCTGAGTTAGGAAGATGACAGGATACTTGTTCTGTTTAAGACGAAGCCTGCAACAGTACATCACTATAAGTACTTACTATAGACTAACAAGTTGAAAGACACTAATATTTCCCAAATATGTTGGAGTTTCTGTATCTTGAACTAGCCTTAATGTAAATTTATAAGTTTCAAATATATTCTTGACAGACATTAATTTGTCTGGGACACTCTATTCAGTTTGTTTCTGGGGTCCAACCAATGAGTACCAGAGGTAAAGTGACCAATACATGCTAACCACTCACCTAAATCCAGTGCTGAGGTTAAGAATGCGTGAAGCTTTACCTCCAGTCTTCCATATGTTTTCACAATGCGGAACTTTGGCATAAGCACAACTTTATCTTTACCTTTGGTTATGGTAAAGATAATACACAGCTTTGAAGTTTCTGATATATTTCACAGTAATTTTTTAAATATTACACGTATTGAAAAACTTTGGAATTGAGGCTCTCACAGTGTTGGTTATGAAGAGTTATACCCCAGAGCACTCCTCACATTGAAAAGTGTTTAAAAAATAATGCTACAGATCTTAATCAGACTTACATTCCATGTCATGTACTACTCTGAGTTGTTCTTCAGACAACTGCTGAACCTGTGTCATGGCTTCATGTAGAGTAAGGTTACACTGAACTGACAGGACAAAAATGAACATGGAAATCAAGAGGGAGGGGGAGGGGATTTATGTCAGAACCTTTAGCATGGAATGAAACTATAAAATGAAAATTCACAGAGTAATTTTGGAAATGAAACACACAGATGGGTAGACATATGGATATGATCTTCCCAGCACGTACTAATTTCGTGAAAATAATGCATTAAAAGTAATAACACAACTGATAACTAACATTGTGCAGATGTCTGGATGGAAGCATGAGAATATGATCTTACGACTGCCTGCAGAATGGAGAACCACCTTAAGAATAGTGTCCAGATACATGTTCAGGTCAAATGGGTGGTTCAGCTCATATGTACCATCCTGTAAGCAAGACATAACACTAAAATAAAATTCTGCAACCTATCTGCCAATGTTTCTATGCAAGATCAAAGGAAATAAACTCTCTTCCAAAGGGTAATATGGTTCACTGTCAATGTTATTTTACTTCATAATAAACCCCGTTATTGAATAATAAATCCATTGTGAACAGTAATTATCTTTCACATCCTCTTCCTCAGTGTTTTTAAGTGTTTTCTTTACAGATATAATCCCAGAAACGGTGACTGTCTTTGCTGAAGAACAAAAGCATGATTTGCTCCCAACAAATATAGAAAGACATACCTTCAGCTGCATGGTCCATTTGATCTCAATATTGAATCCCACATGAGGGTCAACAGAGTCTAACGCCCTATGTAGGGTTGGGAATGGTTGATGCTCCTCCAAGTCTTCATCAAAGAAGCGCTGACTTTTATTCTTCCCTTCAGCCAAGTGGTACACCTGGTGGTTTTAATGAAGATCAGTACCAGTTTCTGTGAAATACTGACTGCTGGGCATTTTGCTTTGAATACATGGAAGCTGACATAAAAATTCTAAGACTGATTTTGATAAATATCAATTACACACATTAGAGGGTTAACAGGCTACAGCTGAAAAGTGTTTCTAACTTCACATTGACAGGAGAGAAATCATTGCTATCAACTGCGAGAAAACACTGTACTGTGTACACGTTATTAGTGACCACTGCATAGTCAAATGAATGACATTAAGGAATGCATGTGCATTAAGTTCTCACAAAACTTGGAAAGAAGGCCACAGAAACCTATGAAATGTGCAAGCATGCATATGGAGAAGAAACTGTCAACTGCACCACCATCTGAGTGGTTTATTCAACTTGAAAAGGAAACAACTTCGCTGAAAGATGAATCATGCCTTGTCCAGCATCAGAGCAAACAGAGGGAACCACTGTTTTATGTTTTTAATAATACTGACAGTGACAGTCAATTTGGCCGTTCTGAAATATCTGAGGGATAGGGCTTGAAAGAAACAGCTTGAGAACATGGATGCTGGATCATAACAATGCATTGGATCACTTTCTCATTCAATCTTTACCAGATACAGCACCTAGTGACTTTCAAATGAAAAAGAAATTACAGAAGGTGTCTAGAGATTACCCTAAATGTCATACAGGTACTGAATACCCAAAAGATGAGTACCAGAAATGCTTCAACAAGTACATAAACCACTGATATCATTTTGTTAAATTTGGAGACAACTTTGAAGGCTTTAAATCCAACTAACAGGCAAGTGCCCAGAATTTTATGATCTGCCTTTTTATTATATTTGTATACAGGTATCCATGACTATGTATCATTAAGTTAAGAATAAGAAAGTACACAATATGAACAGTTAAAAGTATAATAGGTCTGTAATGGGTGCTGTAAGGATAATTCTTATATAACAAAAACAGGCACACATCCTGGACATCACAAGACGTGAAATCACATTACTAAAACAGAAAGAGGTAATATTCTTTTGTGAACTTTTACAATTTATGGACAGTGATAAATAACAGGGTACAATAAACATGTTTCAGGCACTCAGTACACTCAGTAGATATAGCATCCAGTTTCCAGGACCTCCAATATTACGAGGGACGTTCAAGTTCTAAGGTCTCCAATCTTTTTTCTCAGGACTGGAAGCAGATAGACACATGCGGTTTAGTTTAAAATATGTGTGCACTCTTTGTGAATGCGTGACAGAGATGGCAGCACTGTATGGCACACAGAACTCTAGTGGCGGCGGTGATAGTGAGGAGTGTTTTGGATACCTAAAATGGCGATGATTTTGTTACAAGAACAGCGAGTTATCACTCGTTTTCTCCACTTGCGTGGTGCGGCACCCATTGAAATTCATCGCCAGTTGAGTGAGACATGTGGTGATGGTGTCATGAACGTGAAAAATGTGCGTTCATGGGTGCGACAGTTCAAAGAAGGCCGAATGTCGTGTGACAACGAACCAAAACAATCTCGACCTTGCACCAGCCAGTGTGACAACATGGTCGAGCAAGTTGAGAAAGGTGTTTTGGAGGATCGCTGATTGAGTGTGGAAAACATCGCCTCCAAAGTTGGCATTTCCGTGGGATCTCTGCACACAATCCTGCATGAAGACCTGCGAATGCGGAAAGTGTCCTCCAGGCGGGTGCCACGAATGCTGGCGGACGACCACAAGGCTGCGCGCATGGCAATTTGCCAGGCGATGTTGACATATGATGAAGGCATGAATGGGACTTTCTTTTCATCAATTGTGACAATGGATGAGACATGGATGCAGTTTTTCAATCCTGAAACGAAGCGCCAGTCAGCTCAATGGAAGCACACAGACTCACCACCACCAAAAAATTTTGGGTAAGCGCCAGTGCTGATAAAATGATGGTGGCCATGTATTGGGACAGCGATGGCATGATCCTTACTCACTGTGTTCCAAAGGGCACTACGGTGACAGGTGCATCCTACAAAGATATTTTTAAGAACAAGCTCCTTCCAGCACTGCGAGAAAAATGGCTGGAAAAGGCTGAACGTGTGCTCTTTCACCAGGACAATGCACCAGCGCATCGGGTGTAGGCAATGCAGTAGTTTCTTCATGAAAACAACCTTGAAGTGGTTTCTCATGCTCCCTACTCACCTGACCTGGCTTCTAGCGATTTTTGGCTTTTCCCAATGATGAAAGACACTCTCCGTGGTCGCACATTCACCAGTCATGCCGCTATTGCATCAGCGATTTTCCAGTGGTCAAAACTGACTCCTTCAGAAGCGTTCACAGTGGCCATGGAATCATGGCGTCAACATTGTGAAAAATGTGTACGGATGCAGGGAGATTACCTTGAAAATTGACAGACGTTTCAAATTTTTTGTATGATAATTGTGTGAGAAAAGAAATCGGAGACCTTAGAACTTGAACGCACCATGTATCAATGGGTAGCTCAAAACCTTCACACAAGTGGTTATTTCCTGACTCTCAGAAAAAAAGAAGGCAAAATGGTCACATTCGGCTCCTTTGTATCCCATCATTTATATGACAACAATATGCACACCTTATATTTGTGGCATATCATCACCTGGGTGTTCAAGTGCACTATGTCCAGCAATATCATTTTTGGGAAACTGAGTCTGAAGCTGGGGAATCAACCATAGTTTAATCATGACTGAACAAAACATATTCTGAAATCTCACACTTGGAAGTAGCAAAACTGACAGAGATCAGAGAAGTGCATTATGTCATTTTTGCCCAAACATTGAAACAGAACACTACCCAAATAGCAATCTAATAAGCTATGCTATATCAAACAAGGCATTAGTTAAATAATGCAAAAAACTTAGTAGGAGATAATCAGTCCAATTAACTTCATTCTATATGATCTGCATTCGTGACAAAAAACAGTGACTAATTCCTAAAACCAGTGATAATGCTTGTAGCATTTTTCTCTTGTATGTGACCTTAAAGGTGAATACTGTGAAAACAACAGTGTGCCTGTACAGATGGTGATGTATCATCTCTGCCTTGCCGACTAGTAACATAACAGTTTACATTTGCAGTTATTCATTCTAAATATTAACCTCAGTCCTGTTATACAATTAACTGGTTATTTTTCAGACCTCTTCAAACCTCCACAACCTTCAGCTAAACTATTTGGTACAGGGGCTTCACTGAAGAACAGACAGTTACTAGATTGATAGTTCCCTGGGATGACATAACCTGAATATTAACCATTATCACTACAAATGCTCATCACCATCTTGTACCCTCAGTCATTCAATTTGGGTAACCTCAGCACAACCTATACTTCTAACGTCCATTTTAACATCTTCTCTCAAGATGTCCCTTCCTCTAAGACATTTTAACTAAAATTTTGTATGGACATAGTTTTCCCATGCATGTTTCAGTCACACTCATTTCATAATTCAATAAATCCACATGTGAAAATGTGGGTAGATGTGGGCAGATGCCATCTACCTAGTTCCTAAGCCATATTTTAAAGTATTTTCTGTACCTAAAGCTGTTCCAAAGAGTGAGATGTATAGAAACAAATCCCCTATAGCTAACATCAGGAATTTCACAGCAACAAACAGCAAATGAGGATTAACTGATATTATACCTTTAGATGCTGTAACTGTTCCAGTGTAAGCTCCTTCACTGGTAACTCTAGCATGTCATGCTCTGCCAGCTGCTTCTTGTGCTTCAATGCAATGCACACATGAAAGTCATGGTACAAGACTGGTATTAAGTCCTTTGAAAGCTGAATATCAAACTCTACCAAATCAGCTCCTGCTGAAGCTGCATTCTTCAGTGATGCTATTGTGTTTTCACGGACATCTGCGCATCTTCAGTGTAGGAAAAGAATGTTATGATATGAGGCATGACAATAAAATAACAAGAATGAGGCAATGCACATTGAGTAACAATATCTTTCAGACTTCTTTCTTGTACAAAAGCAGTATGAATTTTACTCACATAGCATTATGTTCCTTTGTCAAAAAACAGTTGACACAGTCTGTGAAAGCTATTACACATCATCTTTAGGTAAAACTGGTGAAAAATCAATCACATAAAAATGGTGCAACAAATTTATGGAGATGCAATGGTGTCAAGAAAAAGTTTCTTAGCTACATGTATCTTGTTCTGATGCAGTATAAAAAGGTAAAGTTGTCCCTGGGCTTAATTAATTAAGCACTATACCATGAAGGCATATGGGGGAGTGGATGTATAGACCCACGTTTTCTTGACCTCGGCACTAGTTGGAGGTGAGTGGTCAGTTTCACGGCCTGGCCGCTTCAACCCCGGGGAAAGAGCCCCTGGTACCCATTGAATAGGAGGCTGCAGTCTGGACAAGATTGAGAAGTGAGAACTATTGACCCTAATGGAACTTGAACTCTGACCCCTTGGTCGTCCAGCCCATTGCCAGTCGCTATACGAATTTCGCTATCCCAGCTCTGTCACAACAGAGGTTTCATGAACATTAATAGGAAACACTGTACATATTTGCAATTGTCTATATAAAGAGCTTATATCTTAAAATTATAGTCAAATATACAACTTAATTACATCAAGATTTAATACTAGTGGTTTAATTATATATGATCCAGTTGTGAGAAGCAGTGTGTATGTATGTGCATATATAACTATGTAATTACAAAAATCCAAATGTATGACAATACTTGTACTTACCTGTAAGATGTCATATTTTTATGTAGTGATCCAGTTTGGCTTGTGGAGTGTGTGACAAAAGACTACATTAGACACACACACACAAGCACACGCACACACACACAGTGTGTTCCAAGTGGAAAGGTCAAGATTCTGGGAGGTTACAGTATCGGTCATTCTAAGCAAAAAAAAAGAAGTGTATATGTACATGCATTCTATTCTGAATGGTGTCCAAGATAGAGCTACTTCACTGTACAGTTCCAAAATTGTTGATAAGAATGAGATATTATGTACTGTTCCTCACACCAGTATCTACTGACAAAGTTGTTGAAGTTTACCTACTATAATAATTTTTTTAAAATCCCATCAACATCAATGCACTTTGCAGTCTGTGTGAGGACATGGCATGTTGCTCGTTTGAGTATATCTTGACATTCTTTTATGCTGGCAATAACATTCATTATGCAATCGAACAGTTCGTCTTGTGTATCCACTTTTCTCCTCTGTACTTTACTCTTCAACCAACCACATAAAAAAGAACCTAAGGGGGTTAGGTCTAGAGATCTTGGTGGCCAGTTAATGGTACTGCCACAACCAATCTACCGATTGGGGAAAGTGTTACTGAGATGTTGCATCACAAGTTGGGTATAACGAGAAAGGGCTCTGTCATGTTGAAAGTATATAGGGATCCGTGTAGACAAAGGAACATCTTCTAGTTGTTCTGACAATCGATTTTGCATAAAGTCTAGGTAATTATGTCCTGTCATAAGATCGTCTAAAATAACAGGACCAATCAACATGTCACTGATCATTCCGCACCACACATTCATAGAAAAACGATGCTGAAAATTTGTTTTCAGAGTACCATGTGGATTATTACGAGACTATCATTGTAAGTTGTGTGTGTTGTTGATTCCAATAAGGGTGAAAGTAGCTTCATCACTGAAGAGTATTAATGGAAGATACTGGAGATTAGTATGTAACCAATGACAAAATTCTAGATGCAAGGCACTGTCACCTGGGTGTAAACTTTGCACATGCTGTGAGTGAAATGGGCACAAGCCATCATCATGAATGCTCAACATACATGTGTTCATGGAACACTGAGACGTGTAAAAAGTATTTGCATGCTAGTAGTTTGGCTACGCTGTACCATTTCAAGAATATTTTCCTGTTCCTTCACATGTTGCTGATGCGCCCATTCTGATCAAACAGGAACACTGGGAAGGCTACCACATTCATGGAATATATTGAACACCTTGGAAAATTCTCTATGATCTGGAATTCTGTTCACAAGAAACCACTGATGGTTTTCTTCAACAGCAGCAGTGGCACTACCATAGCAGAAGCCATAAACATATAGCATATCAGTGTATTTAACATCTGTGAAGATGTGTGACATGTTTTCACAACACTCCTACAATATCACTATCAACAGAAACAACAGCCAACTGACACTTCACACCAATTCACATGCTTCTGATAGTGGCACAGTATGGCAGGAGGGAAGGACATTGGGCATCAAATCCAAACTACTGCAGAATGAAACTGCTCTAACTCAGAAACCATTTGGAAAAGGACATATGCACATATACACTTTTTTGCCTAGAATGACATACTATAATCTCCCAGAACAGTGACTTTTCCTCCTTGGCTGCCCTATATATAACGAGTTAAGAGGGTATGTACAGGGTGATTCAGAAAGATGGACACAATTTCAATTGGCTATATTTCCTGAATTATATGTTGCATTTTAATTCTGTAAATTACATTTGATTATACACACATGGAGGTTTATAGATGTTCAATGTGCCCCCCTCCGGCTGCATGGATAACATCTAGACGTTAGCTGAATTCATCTCACACTCGATGACAAATATCTTGCGCCTGGGCTTTTACCCTTACACAGAGAGCCAGTTTCATCAAATTGTTAATTCCAACGATAAATGCTCTTCCTCGTTGGAGGTTGGATGTTAAACTTACGACGAAATGCACACTGCACCCAGTCGCAGACTCACTTTTACTGAACTCACGAATGCAAAAATTCTTGTGTTGCATAGTAGCCATCTCGCTTACAACTGGCGCGGTGCTGGAGTGCTCTAGCGATAATATTAGAAACTTTACAACATCCTCTTTTAAATGTACTTTACAGAATTCAAATGCAACATATAGTTCAGGAAATATAGCCAATTGAAATTGTGTCCATCTTTCTGAATCACTCTGTATATATGTCAAAAAGATGTTCCTATGATTGCCTTCATAGGCTCTTTGTTCATCTATCAATTTGATGCACTGGTTTATATACATACTTACTTACTTATTTACTCATGGAGCTGAGCCCTTCTTGAGGAGCCGCCAATTCAGCAGCTACTCAAAATTTTCCCAGCATTTTATGGAACCCAAAGGTTCATTACCGTGTTCACAAGAGCCCTCCACTGGTCCCTATCCTGAGCCAGATCAATCCAATCAATACCATCCCATCCTATCTCTCCAAGATCCATTCTAATATTATCCACCCGCCTACACCTTGGTCGTCCCTGTGGTCTCTTTCATTCCAGCTTTTCCACCAATATCCTATACACATTCCTTGTCTCCCCCATTCATGCTACCTGACCTGCCCACCTCATCCTCCTTGACTTGATCATTCTAATTATACTTGGAGAAGAGTACAAGTTATGAAGCTCCTCATTATGCAGTTTTCTCCAACTTCCTGTCACTTCATCCCTCTTTGGTCCAAATGCTTTCCTTAACACCCTGTTCTCAAACGCCCTCAATCTATGTTCCTCCCTTAATGTCAGAGACAAAGTTTCATACCCATATAACCGCACACTGCCGTCACTTCTCACAACCGTTGTTCACCACTTCTCGTGACCGTTGCCTATCTATCTTTATGTTTATTTATTGTTTGCCCGCTTCGGTAGAACACTTTTGACTCTTCTCAGGGTTGTGCCACGGTAATAACTGGGGCAACGCGGAGACTGCACATTTAAAACTAGTCCACTGATACAAATAAATACTCTATTTCTGCTTAATCACAATATTGTTTATTTCAAAGTCAAACTATAACTTTATCGG